AGGCGATGTGAAAGTGACGTCAAAGAGGTCTCGTTTATGAAACTTTTCATCGAACTGGGTGTCCCTAATCGTTTGAAACTTGAAAATATGAACATGAAAGCTATAAGAAAGGTCCTGACCCTCGTAAAAATTCGATTTTTTTACAATTTCTTTATATTTTCAACATATTTCATAGAAACTGAAATTTCACGAGTGTCAAAACCTTCCTTATGGCCTTCGTGTTCATATTATAAAGTTTGAAACGATTCTGTACACCCAGTTCAGAGAAAAGTTTCATAAACAATTGGCACCTCGGATGCCACTTTCATATCCCCTTAACCCAGATAGAAATTCATGATCATCATATGATGAGGAAAATCGATTTACAAACAATCTCCAGACCATTTGCTGCACGGAATGTCTGCAATATAAATACCCATATTCCACGATAAATTAGAAGAAAAATTCCCAGTAAATTTATCATAAATGGTTGTAGCAATATATTAACCGTATACTCGAGTCATATACCAATTATGCCATAACCAACATTTACGAGATGAAAATTTATGGAAAAATTAAAAGGAGCTATAATCATGATTGTACGTCACTAATTTGCGGACATTCTATGAAATTAGTTAATGCTACAAATGTGGGATAAATATGACGTTGCTCCATGTTCCCGTTTTCATTGCGCTATTACTCCAATATGAGCTACAGAAGCTGTAATTGTTTATCGGCAATCCGTTAGATAAATTTAGCTGTACATATGCGTACAAACATTGAGACCTTGTATGTATTTAACTTTGTTTCATGTTTAAGTATTTTTGATTAATCATCATCAATTGTTTATTGGCAATCCGTGAGATAAATTTAGCTGTACACATGCGTTCAAACATTGAGACTTTGCATATACTTAACTTTGTTTCATGTTTAAGTATTTTTGATTAATCATCATCAATTGTTTATTGGCAATCCGTGAGATAAATTTAGCTGTACACATGCGTACAAACATTGAGACTTTGCATATACTTAACTTTGTTTCACGTTTAAGTATTTTTTATTAATCATCATTAAGTATTTTTGATTAATCATCATCAATTGTTTATCGGCAATCCGTTAGATAAATTTAGCTGTACATATGCGTACAAATTTTGAGATTTTGCATATACTTAACTTTGTTTCACGTTTAAGTATTTTTGATTAATCATCATTAAGTATTTTTTATTAATCATCATTAAGTATTTTTCATTAATCATCATTAAGTATTTTTTATTAATCATCATCAATTGTTTATCGGCAATCCGTGATATAAATTTAGCTGTATATATGCGTACAAATATTGAGACCTTGCATGTACTTAACTGTGTTTCATGTTTATGTATTTTCGATTCATCATTCCGAAAATATGAGTCCCATATGACGTATAACGTAATAAAATATACGTCATAAACGACGCCCTCGTGACTCATTTCATGATTTTTTGTAAGGTAGATTTTATGCTAATTTATACATTTTATACATCACTTTTTCTATCTGGGAACATGGAAGCATACAAGAAAATCTGATTCCCTCGATGACTATCTGATCAGTAGTGCAAAAAAATCCGCGTAAATGCAGACCAAGAAACATTAGAAAGAATCTTAAGGTGAAGTGAAACCCCCTTTTTCGATCAATATACAATTATCGAAGGCTCCGATATGAAAAACGAAAGGGTCAGGACAATCTTACAATATAGAACACTCTGGTAATCGATAAACTCGCATTTGAACTGGATAAAGGCAAAAAAGGGTTTTACGCGCTTCTACGCTAAAACGATGGAAATACGAGGTCCTGGAGTGAAAATTTAATTCACCTGGAAATCACAGATGGCGCAGGGGGTCCCTCTGCAGTCAATCAGGGCCACAGAAAGCATGAACCCAGAGGATTTCTGGAGTTTTCCTTCGATTTCTATATAATTATTGGATGAAAACGATAGGTGGAGTATGCCATTTGGTACAATACCCAATATAATTCGACACAGCTGTCAATACAAAATCGAGCGCCGGCAATGTAGGTATTTAGAAAAATCTTTATCAACGTCGATCAAGTTCCTCAACGTGTTTCACTTCACCTTAAGATGCTCAAATAGTTCCAAAGAAATCCGCCCCTCCGTCAATGTAAAAAAGGTCCCCCTGCGATTATTAGGAAAAATACCAGATCGAGTGAAATTTTTCGTTGTGCAGAAATATCTCAATAAGTTTAAATCACCTAATTCCGCACAATAACTAGCCGACCACATAAGGGAGGTCACACATTAGGGTGGTTCTTATTCACTCTTAGCAAGCATTTTTTAACGATTTTTTTCTTTCGCGCTCCCCCCAAATTTGGTTCCATTTTATGTAAAAATAATTCCTATAAAATTTGAGCGTAATCGGACAAAAGGAAAAGGAGACCCTGGGCCCTTGAAAAAAGAAATAAAAGAAGTTTTATTTGTTTATCCTGCCAAACATTAATTATATGCAAAAAGCTTTATACAAAAGCTGTGTCTATTAAAAATGCGCGTATTATTACCTACGACTTTTCCTCGGAAACGGTTAGTCATACGAGAAAAAGTCGTAGGTAATAATATGAGGATTATTAATAGATCTACAACTTTTGTATAAAGCTTTTTTGCATATAATTGATATTTCGCAGGATAAACAAATAAAATTGTTTTATTTCCATTTTCAAGGGCTCAGGGTCTCCATTTCCCTTTATCCGATTAAGCTTAAATTTTCCAGGAATTATTTTTACATAAAGTGGAACCAGACTGGGGGNTTATACACTGAACACTGCTGAAGGTTATATATTTGTTACCGTGTAATTACTATACACATTGTGTAATTATATTCTGTATATATTATGCATTATGTAATATAAATATTATGATCAATTATATATATAATATAAATATTGACCTATATATTAAACACTGATTAATACGACACCGCTACTTGGTCATTATTTTCTTCCATTAGTTATTCAGTATATTATTATACGTTGCGGTTTGTTCAAACCAACTAAGAAGTGGAATTCATCTATTAACACGTACAATGCATCGTCTTGAGTTTATCGAGGCCTTAATTCAAACGAATGTAAATGACTAAATGCAATTACTCCCCTTCCCCTATTGTCAAATTTTCCTAACACCGGATACATATTATTATTTCAGATGCAAGAGTTAAAAAAATCAGAAGTGGAAAATAGCTTGAGATCATTATTTAAAGTGGCGAGGAGTAAGTGCAATTCATTTAAACAGAACACACACAAAAGGATGGTATATCTAAGATTGACGTTAACTATTAAGTATATCTCATTTCACAACTATATTGTTCGCAACGAAACCTTGCTTTCATTACCCGAACACTAAATATTGTGTCGTTACAATCTCATCTTTTTAATGGAACAAAGTAAGGCGATTGCGTGAAAATAAATGTATTTAATGTATATTTCTAGTTTCCATCTTCAATGATTACGCATCTGGAATCACTATTCACTGATTGAATCCATAATTCTGCAGAGAAAATTACAGAGCATGGTGCTCTTTACTGCGACGTAAAGCTATATTAAATTGTTTATACTTTTAATCTTCGCTCCATGTAAATGCGATTGCAAAGGTAACCAAGATATGATATGAAAAGTACTAACGACACAGGAATTTGTAAGATCAACTAATGTAAGATCAATAAATTCTGACCTTAACGCGCCATACTTAAAAGGTTAGGATTGCTTGATATACCTCGAACAGATATTGGATGTACAATTCTTCATCTTCCATTTCTCGAACGAATATGAATGATCAATGCCAACCAATGAAAGAGCACATTTACCATTTAACGTTCTTCTTTTTACTGTACTGCTTTCGTTCAATTTCGTATATTTAGCGCAACTTAATTCTCTCATTGGTGATGGTCAATTCTCTCAAGGTAATCTTAAGAATGCCTCGCCTCTGCAATCAAGCACCACCGCAGTATACTCTCGGAACGGTTCTGCTTGCCTTTTATATGTATTATGTGCGATGTACAAAATAAAACTGTTAAGTAAAGTATTGCGTTTCTCTTCATTAACTATACAATTACGGTCTTCAACATCTTAAGCTCCTTGGTACTTTATGCAACTTTACTGACCCATCGGAGATCTATCGCTAACCTAACCTGTCCTAATCGAATAAAACCCTATCCTAACCGAGCTTTTTCCATTCTAACCCTATCCTAACCTGCCTTAGTCGAATAAAACCCTATCCTAGTCTGCTGCCCTACCCTAGCCTAGTTGTTTCGAGTTATATTGGGAATTGTACTAAATGACATACTCCACCTGTCGTTTTCCTACAATAATTATAAAGAAATCCAAGTAAAACTCCAAAAATCCTCTGGATTCATGCTTTCTAAGGCATTAATTGACTGTAGAAAGAACCCCTGCGCCATCTGTGATTTCCGTGTCAACTAAATTTTCACTCCAAGACCTCGTGTTACCATCGTTTTAGCATAACAGGTCATAAGACACTTTTGTTGCCATTATTTCGTTCAAATGCGAGTTTATCGATTACTAGAGTGTTCTAAATTGTCGTACAATTGTCTGAAACTTTCGTTCCTCATATTGAGATCTTCAATAATGGGATATCGATCGAAATATGAGAGCTCGACGCTATTTTGGTTCCGGTCTAAGGTAAGTTAAAAATTGTTTGTCAGAAATCCAAATTTTGAAAGTGTCTAGATAATTCCTAGATGCCACAAGTCATGTATCAAAATTTCATACAGTTCGAACCAATACCCTTAAAAAAAATGTCTTATTAGAGTCGTCTGATTTGAGGAGATTTCAGTTCATATTAATTCCTGCAACTGGTCTCGGACATTCACTGCGATGCGAGCAGTTATTAATACTCAACACTTTGCATCTTCCTTTCTAATATAATGCATTACATTTGTTGCATCCACTTTGTTGCAATCTGAAAAATAATACATTTTAATGAAGAGGGCAACAACCTGGTAAAGGATCTAAAGTTATTTTAGTTTTGTTTTTTTATTTACATGATACAATTGTATTACTACGCTTCTAATTATTGTATATTTTATTGCAGTTCACAAAATATTGTGCGGTCAAGCATATAAATGTTTTAAACATTCGGTCATAGCTGCCAAGATGCAACAGTGTCACATGTATATGTCAAACCTAATTAATTCAGTATTTATACTTTTATAAATAATGTCTTTCTTATATATTTTAAAATAGGCTTCATGACGTTATGATGTATATTATCGTAATTTCTGTTACGTTTTCAATGTTCATATTTAAATTTAATATAATAACGAAGACGTGCGATTCGAGTACAAGCTATGTAATATATTTGATAGAAATGTATTGTAACAGAAAAGCCGACTGTCAGAAATAGTTACGCTTTCGTGATTGAAAATAATACTAAAGCAATGCAGACGAACTTAAAGTGAGGTTAAGATGGTTGGTTACAATGGCGCTTTGCAGCGCCTATTTTGACCTACAGTATCTATTAGGACACCTTAGCTAACTCAAACTGTACTGTTTTCTTATAGTTTTAAACTGTTTCGTGTATTATTCCTTTATATCGTATTCGAGTTTGTCTTTTGTGATTAAGTAAGGTTAAGATCACGTGCATGGTATATAAGAAGTAAACAATGTCGTATAATTAGTCAACAGGAATGAGAGTAAAGCGCCGCATGCAGATCCAACTTGCATGATTATGCCTACGTTGGAAAGAACTACATCTCCAGATTCGCATCTGAACGCTGTGGTAATGGCAAGTTTGACGTAGGATATAATCCCCATCAGCAAAATCCAAGCCAATACAAGAAGGAACACGCCAATCTCTGCAGAATGTAAAGGTGGGTTCGGAGACATAATAGCTAAAAACGTGACATAATTACTTAGGAGTAAAATGATCACTGATAGAACTCCGATAGTCCTCAGATTCATCGGTAGAATCCAAATAGCCAGAAAACATGCAGCAGGATTCGCCATGTGAGAGAGTGTCACAGTCAAGTGGTAAGCAACATTCCCATAGGGTAAACAGGAATACGACTGTATTCCATGTAAAAACCCATTACCTAAGAAGCATACCAAAGCCACGAGAACGTATAAATAGATCTTGGATAATGGACCGAAAGAAGCCCTTTGGCCACCGGTATTCTTAACTCTCCTCTGCGTAGTGCTGGAACCGTCAGGTTGTTCCATGGCTGGCTCAAACTTCTCTTCAGAGAGGATTAATTCACCCTGTACAATCGGAAGATATCGGAGAAGTGTGAATGCTATAACAGAGAGACCGAGAATAGCAGAAAGGAAGAGGAAATAATACTTCGGTGGAAACCTGGGTGGGGATACGTAAGGAACCATCGTACCATTGGCAGTAATTTTGCACTCCGGATTGCCCCCGACACCTTGAAGCAAGGCCACGATACTTGGTACGAGTCCACTCAAGCCTTCGCCTATGAAATACGAAACTAAGTAGATGTCTTTAAAGAAACGAAGATATGGCATAAAGAGTACCGAACTTGTACAGCCGACCAATGCAGTAAAGAAAGTTAGCACGTACATGGCTAAACTGTACCGATTGTCACCAATAAATAATGTCTTATCGTATAAAAAAGCCAGGAGACACATTGCAAGGAAACCCTCGAGTAAAAGAGCCCATATCCATACACGCTGACTTAACCTAGGACACCATTTATTTGTAAGTACGTAAACTATTGGCCCAACATTGGCAGCTTGTATGATAACTACCAGATACGCTGGAAGCTTCCATCTTTCAGGGGATGACAATACCAATAATGGCAATTGTACAAAAATCCCATTCACTCCGACCCATGCAGATAAGCCGAAACAGATCACTAGGAAGTGCACGATTATGAGTTGTTTCGATGGCCAATTTTGACGCGCCTTGTTCCACAAATTGGGAATGAACTTCCTTTCCACCATGTTGTATCTTTGATCAACTAATGATTGTAATTCGTTGGTACACCTGAAACAGAAGGTTAAGTCAATGTTTATTGGTAAGTACAACCAATTCCGACTGAAATCAAATGATTACATTTAAACGGTAACATTCATAAAAATGAATAGATGTTCTTGAGACTATTTCAGTATAATTAATTAAACATATATATGTCTGCTTTCAGTAACAGGTTACATAATAATTGTTAGCATCATATCTACATAAATGTAGCGTAACTTTGTTACTATTATCTTACATTATATTACTGTCCTAATATTACTGTATATATGCAGCACAATTTTTAGCAAAACAGAACTACATTGGTGCTAACTGTCATCTATTTTATTACATCATCGTTATCGTCATTGTCATAATTCATCGTCAAATGTCATAAGATTAATATATGTCATATTTTGTTTACTACTCGTATGAAAAAATGCGACTTTAATTCATACGCGCGTATACATTATCAGTCAATGTTTGCTAGTCGAATGAAATCATAATCGTCTTTAAGTAAAATCAGGTAGTTTATCATTACATAATTTCATTGAAAGTCTGATCTGTCATTTAATATCTAACAGTTGCCAAGTACCAAAAAATAATTGAAAATAAAAATTATGTAATTTTTTATAAAATTGCGTGATTTTTTTTTATTAAATGTATAAAGAATTAACATTATTTTAAAGTAACTGAAATTATAACATTAATATAACATGTTACATAACATGTTACATTACTGAGTGGAAATAATAACTAACATCTAACTTCCATGTTACTTTTAAGCTACATAACACGTTAGCTTCGAAAACGTAACATTTACCCAACACTTATATAACAGTGTTCACTGGGATAATGTTACCAACAAAAAGGTTATACATGAATTTTATTTTATCGACGACGATTAAATTTCTCAGCGCCTCTCATACCATCTTTAATGATACATACTTATTAATTGATAATCTGAACAGCCTTCAAGATTTCGCAATCTAAAGAAGACTCGAAGAGTCATCTAAAGCCGGACTATCATCTTTGATTTGATGACCTCTCTATGATGCCGAAAACATCGATGCGAACACTTGATCGAGCAGAAGATCCTTAACGCGATAACAAGTCCACGAACTCGATAATGGCATCCTATCAAATGATCATAGATAAGTGCATTCGGTAAAACATTGTTGAACGAACACTCACCTGTAAACGTAACACACGGGACGACTAGAATAATGAACACGATAACACATGAATTCGATAATGGCATCTTATCGAGTGACCACAGATAAGTGCATTCGGTAAAGCATTTTCGAATGAACACTCATTTGTAAACTTGTTTCGAATGAACGCTTACCTGTAAACTTGACACACGCGACGACTAGAATAATGAACACGGCAAAACGTCCATTAATTCGATATTGGCATCTTATCGAATGAACACTCACCTGTAAGCTTCACACGGGACGACTAGAATAATGAACCCGATAATACGTCCATGAATTCGATAGTGACATCTTATCGAATGAACACTCACCTGTAAGCTTGACACGCGGGACGACTAGAATAATGAACACGGTAACACGTCCACAAACTTGATAATGGCATCTTATCGAATGACCACAGATAAGTGCATTCGGTAAAACATTTTCGAATGAACACTCATCTGTAAGCTTGTTTCGAATGAACACTTACCTGTAAACTTGACACACGGAACGACTAGAATAATAAATACGATAACACATGAACTCGATAATGGCATCTTATCGAATGACCACTGATAAGTGCATTCGGTAAAACATTTTCTAATGAACACTCATCTGTAAACTTGTTTCGAATGAACACTTACCTGTAAACTTGACACACGGAACGACTAGAATAATGAATACGATAACACATGAACTCGATAATGGCATCTTATCGAATGACCACTGATAAATGCATTCGGTAGAACATTTTCGAATGAACACTCACCTGTAAACTCGACACGCGGGGCGATTAGAATAGTGAACACCGACTTCTCTACAGCACCAGGAATTTCTCTTCCGACCGACTAGCACATGTCCTTCTGTTCATGATGAGTACCAATAAGGTTTATTAGATCTCATTTAGCGAACATGAGAGTATAAATCAGTATGTGTGGGCCTTACCAATGTCTGTCTCGCTCTCTCTCATCGATTGCGGTTACATAATCAATTTTAAGTAACTAAGAAGGCCTTGCCCAAGAGATTCGATTGTGCATCCTCGGGAAACTAGGCACGGTTATCGCTACAGCGGAGTGACTGAACAGTTCGTTTTTGAGTCATGTCCATGTGTACATATAAATAAATTCATGTATACATATATGTACATATGCGAGTACCAAAGGAGACAGTCATTCGTATTTGAGAAGTCGGTGCCGATGCCGTGGTTTCACGCCTTTTCTTTCCCTTATCAGCTGCCGCGCTCTTATCTCTTTCGGAAGACATTACGATACAATCTAAGTTACACTTTCTTGTACGTATCTGTTTTTTTGCAAACGATCCTGCCGTTGTACATCGGTGGAAATATGGGAATTATTCAATCGTAATCGCGTTGCTAGTTAACAATTGGAACCAACGAATTCAGGTTTTAAAGAAAGATTTTAGTTGATAGGAATAAAAATGTTTAATCGACGGATGAAATTTCCAATCAGCTAATAATCGGGTCGAATCAACGAATGAAAATATTAAATCAACGAATGGAAGTTTCAAACTTTATTTTAACCTAGTAATTGGTTTGGTTGCTCCATCACTTTAGTCTTGAAACTTCTATTCGTCGATTCAACATTTATATTTGCCGAATTGACGAATAAAAATGTTGAATCAATGAATAAAGATATTAAATCAACGAATAAAAATGTTGATTCAACGAATAGAAGATTCAAGTATAACTTTAATAATATATTTAGAACAGGCTGCTTCATTACTTTAAGCTTGAAACTTCAATCAATTGATTCAACATTTTTATTCGTTGATTCCACGCTTATATTCGTTGATTTACTATTTTTAATCGTTGATTCAACATTTTTATTTGTTGAATCGATGAATAAAATGTTAGATCAGCGAATAGAAATGTTGAATCAACGAATAAAAATATTAAATCAACGAATAAAAATATTAAATCAACGAATAAAAATGTTGATTCAACAAATAGAAGTTTCAAGCATAATTTTAGTAATGGATTTGGAACAGATTGCTTCATTATATTAAGCTTGAAACTTCTATTAATTGATTCAACATTTTTATTTGTTGAATCGATGAATAAAATGTTAGATCAGCGAATAGAAATGTTGAATCAACGAATAAAAATATTAAATCAACAAATAAAAATGTTGATTCAACGAATAGAAGATTCAAGCATAACTTTAATAATGGATTTAGAACAGATTGCTTCATTACTTTAAGCTTGAAACTTCTATTCATTGATTCAACATTTTCATTCGTTGATTTAATATTTCTATTCAGTGATTCAACATTTTTATTTGTTGAATCGGTGAATAAAATGTTGCATCAATTAATTAAAATATTAAATCAACGAATAAAAAATGTTGATTCAACGAATACAGGTTTCAAGCATAATTTTAGTAATGAATGTAGAACAGGTTGGTCCATTACTTTCACCTGAATAATGTATTAGAGGCCGACTGTTCAATTTTGAAATCGATATCGATTGCAACATAAGATCCTTCTTCGAAATAACAAGCAACCTTTGAAGGATAAATTCCCATTGAGAAAAAATATCGAAAACGAATATCAGATACTCTCCGAGATCTAAGTAATGATTGAAATCAATCGAGTGAACGACCACCAACGTTGTCTAATCGTAATTGATAGAATGGAGATAAAATGCATTATCAGTCACTGATGTGAATGATCAATTAATAGTTTTGATTGAATCGCTCTATCGTCACGTTTATATTTATCGGGTAATTTTCCATGGATTAAATTCCTTCGCCTTGCAGATGAGAAATTTGCATAAACTTTTTACACCGCAGTACATTTAAAAATAAAGATCGTACAAATTAGACTAATACATATTGTTTAGTGTAATGTAGTGATTTAATTTTGGTTTAGAAAATACTTGCGATTACTGAGACATGACCATAATTTCCCTTCATTATAATAAACAATATATGCGGTCATCAGATGTGAACAATTATTTTTAGGCGTTTCAGCTTTTTTAACGAGCAACGTGTATACAACTATTATAAAATTAGCAATGCTAAATGCATTTAACATTTTTATGAATTTTAAAATTATAATACATGCTAAATTCGCGTTTATGAGAGTAATGTAAAAAAGTGGAGTATTTATTCGATCAACTAATACGTAGACATATTTTTTATCATATTTTCCAGTGGTTTCTTGAAAACAGTCTCGTTAACGGCAACGATCTCTTTTAATAAATCTTGCTGCTGTGCAGTAAAGGATTTATTATTCTTTAAAAAGTTCAGCAGGCATTTTCCGTAGTTTTTATCCGTGGAAAACTGGAGAGCCTTGATCTGAAGTAACGTCAGTAATTTGTCTTTCATCGACTCCTCTAGATTTGTTGAAGTTAATGTATGTAAAATTGCGATGTGCCATTGTTTTAAGTCCTTTACAATAAGAAGAAAATTCCTGGAAAAGAAAAAGGTTATTACTGAATTATTTGTACGGTCCATATGAATATTTATCTCCTGATTATACTCTTTAAGCAAAGGGATCCCTTACGACGTAAGATCAGGCCATTGTACTTGAGTAAAACAATTCACAATACTGTCAATTGCTGTAGTATCCTTGACGTCAACATTTAACAACGGATGAAGTATTAATTTCTTCATATCATCCGGAAATACTTCAATGCATTCACTGATCGCTGAATATATCAAACGTGACGGTCTCTCCGGAGTAATAATCTGAAAAGAAAAGGGCAGACCTTTTAAAAAAATATTAGCTTTAAACAATGAAAGATACATGGAACTGGAATTAATTATTTATCCTAAACGTTTAAAGGATTTTCTCATTAATAATTTAATTTTAAGAATTATTGATACAAGTTTAAGGAAATATTTAAAATGTATAACGTAAAGTCCATATCAATAAGTAATATTAATGAACATGTTACATTCGGTTTCATTAGCATTGCATTCAAAGAGTGATTATAAAAAAAACTCTGTTCGCTATCGAACATTAAAAATTATACAAGGTTAATCTTATCAAAGCTCCAAAATTGATGATTGGAGGGAAAAACTACTTACTCAACCTATTAATCAAGCGATTTTATGGGCAGCGAAAGGGAAACAGCGGAATAGACAACAGAAATTATATTGTCTATTCCGACATAGAGCTGTATCAGTGCAGATAGTATTATCAGCCATGATTTGCAATTCATCAAAGAACATGCTCTGTAACAACTTTGCCATTTAGAGCAATTTTTAAGACTCACCCTGTATATTTATTCTTCGACATACTCAAATTTGGTATATTACTGATATCTCTCTTTAAATCAGGCAGCTTTACTTGTCCATTTTTTTAATACTATATTTCAGTATGTCAAAATACCCAACTTCGTTCATCATAATTGATATATCTAATATATACATAAACACCATATATCCTCTTTAAATATTAATTTGAGCTTAGAAGGTATTAAACGGAATGTATTGCAATATCGATACACTTACATTAGGCAATAACAAATTGGTACAGAAGGGGCCGATGTACTTTATTCGTTGATCTATATCCATAGAGCAGATAGAACGAGCAAGATTATAAATCCCATTTGGACTTAATCTGGGTTTTAAATTTTGAACAACAGCAGACACTTCGTCGGTAGAAATACTTTCAATACTCGAGAAGTCAAACCTCCCATTATTCTCCAGTACTTCATACAAAGATTCAGTAATGTCAGTTACTTCCAAAACACCTTGCAAAGCTACCAAATTATTATCGGGCCGATCATTTTTAGTAAAAAAATTCTGAGTGGCTAAAATATCCTGCAATTGAGAAATATCATTTACAGAATTTTGAGAAGACGTTCGATTGCCATCTTCACTAACGCACTCTTCTATTTCCATATCCTCCGGTGTATCAAGACACTGTAACAATCAAATGGTATTAAAATCATTAATGTATAAATAACTTAAGAAAGTTATCATCGGTTGCATTCTACGTGCACTCTTCATTATAAACGACGAATCAATTAAAAATTGCATTTCCGAAGGTTACAACGATCGATCATTCTTACAATGTTTTAATTAGCTATATTTTGAACTGTCATAAATAACAGAAGATATTAATTTAGAGCATTGTAACAATGTAAAAAAAAAAGCACAAGCCGAACATAATTTCTCTAATTTCCACCACGTGCTTAATGTATAATCGAAACTCGAAATAAGTTTAAACATTCATCAGTTAAACAATGATTGTAAATACTTAAAACTACTAATATAAAAACAATAACAACTCTTTATTCTTAATATATAATTTCTTTTAAATTATTGTATCACGCTAACCTCTCCGGTTATTTCTTCCCAATTTTCACTGCCAGGAAAATTATTCGATCTCATTGCATCCCGAATACTCGATAACATTTGCAGGGCATTTTCTGATAACGAACACTTTGGAAAGTAACCATTAGTTTCCATACTGAATATTTGACAATTGGAACGATGCGTTCTACTGATTATTCAGTTTAACAAACATAATTGTAAATTAATTTGAACGCAAATCGAATATCATGTTTCATGTCTGATAGGCGGGAATTGTTCATCAAATTAACGTGAACTTCTTTTAGACCATAAACTTCCAAACTAAGAATCTGCTATTGGAAGATAACAGGACATCTTTTTGCAATCACAATCCTGTGCTGCCCTCAGTGGCAAACTCCGACACTATCCACATCCTAATGTGATGTCATCCTTAAAACTTTTTTCCAAGATATCACAATTATCTAAATACATATCAAATATTTACACAGAATGTAGTCAACATTTTTCGCCGCAATGCGGTTATTTCATAAGTACATTACTAAGCAATTCTGATAGAGTTTTCGAAGATCTTTGAAATCTGTAAATTTTAACACTGCACTTTGTTCTTAAGCAAAAATACTCGTAGAAAATAGTAAGCGTTAGAAGAAAGTAAATTATTTTTCTTCAGATTTATCAACAACTCCAGAAGCAGTTCTAATTTTTGTTTTCTACGCCGTTCTTGCATACGTAAACGCTTGATTAATTTATCCTTGTGCTTGCACGCTCGTAGCAATATATAAATGGAAGTCTTCATAGTCTCTGGTGACATATTGTTTATACGGCTTTCTGTGATGTCACTAGGATACCGTAACGTAACATTACTGTTCTCTGGAGTTGTGTCTAAATGTCCTTGATTTTTTGTCGTTGATGAGGTGCTCTGTTCGTCTTCTTCGGTATCGATACTAATTACTTCCTCTTCACTGCTACATATATGTGAACAAAAATAGATTAAGTATCTAAGGAAGTACGTAATCTCACATTTACTTCAAATGGTAATGAACAGATACTTACCACGATGCAGTCATATAATCAACTGATGTTACATTTTTTATTGAACAGAGATCTTCTTCACAATGTATAAGTCTATCATTACTGTCAGTACTAACACTGAAGAATAATAGACGTATATTTAATTAAAAATGCTCCGTTTATTACAATAAAGACAATGGATTAAATAAATCACATATGTGCTTATCACATTGCATCATTAATAGATTCAGAGACGTCCACTAAATGGATGTTATCGTTCATTTCAGTGATGGTATTATTTTCAATATCAGTGCTGTAACAAAATAATAAATATTTAACTAACATAAATTTCAAGTTTTAACTTCAGACACGTATGACTACGTTTTTATTTCACTGTTGAAAGTATAAGTGTACTGTTATAAATGAACGTCACATTAGCACTAACATAGTTACCTTTATTCACATTGTTTATTAGGAAAACGTGGAAAAATTGATGGTACCGAGTTCCGTTTCAGTCGCTTGTATTGAAAACCAAATTGTTCAATGCAATCATTTGAAAAATGTTTTACACATATTCTGCTTTGCTTCCGTAATTGTAGAGCACTTTTTTGTTTATTATAAGTGACCAAAGCATGTACCCATTTCGCACGAAGAACTGGTTCTTGGGGAAACATAAATGAAAATACTTCGATTTTTTATCATTCTTTTTTCCACCTGAGATCATAAATTAATCCTTTTAGGATATAAAATTGAAAAAGCCCACATCAATTTGGTATCCACTTGGCAATGTATTTTTTACATTTTCATATGATCTCATTAAAAGATGAAAATACATTTCATATTCTATAGGAAAGCTTATAGGTTAGAAGTGAAAAGGATTATCCCTCACCGATAAAATGGTACTTCTTCTTTGTTTCCATTAGTTTCGCTCTTACATGTACTACTATTACATCCTTCTATAAAACAATATTGACTCATTTTAGTAGTTTAATATCGAATTTTTTTTCTATTCGTATATAAACAAGAACCTCTGAAAACCGCCCATGAAATCCATAAAATCAAACTCAATTAGAAGAACGTTTTTGCAAAGAATCATGAGTCCGTATTCCCATCTTAGTACCGACTATATTCCATGGTGGTGCTGAAGTATTCTTTCCAACTTTTATCTTCCTCGTTTCCAATCTACATATATATCCTTTTTTCTCTTCTTCAAAATTCATACGTTTTGTCTTCATTTCTAAAGAACCATACGAGTGGCGCCTCTATAGTCTGCTATTAGTACTGCAATTAAACCGGTCCCATATTTGTTATAAATTTCCAGTCTTGCTTGAACTCATTAGTTTCAGTTCTGTTTAAAATGTTAGCTTAGCACGTGTATAAATACATGTATACAGACGTTCTTTGAGAAAAGTGTCATTTTATAAATTGAATTATCCAATTGATGATTGATGTTGAAACTGGGACAAATAAAATGTGATTTCATAATTGTGAGATGGAATTACACATTTAGTCGTGCCTTAATTTACTAGTTGTTGTCATCGATTCTTCCCATTGATCTGCAAACAAGTTTTTATATGAATTTATATATAACATGGCAGAAGTTCCTCTAAGTTTAGCTGAGAAGACGTTCATTTTACATGGAATTGACGTGAGTAAGGTTTATTTACGTTGTCAATGTAACAGACGATTACCATGAAACGTGGGTTAACCGAACCTTTTATAATTTAGCGATGCTTTATATATATTTCTTGTGTGTCTGTAAAATTTATTTACTAAATGGATGTAAATACACTAATAGTATGAAACTTATAATTACTACATTGATTAATCAAATATTAGTTTTTAACTGATACGCCGGAAAGCTTTCAAAATGTTGTAAAGAATTGTTAAAGATATAAATAGCAGAATTTAACATTATTCCACAATTTTGTATATTTACCTTAATCGTTAACAATTTATTCTACTTTAGGCTGACTTTAGAAATGATGGTAGACGTCGGAATGAATATCGATGGATGGAAATAGAAACGAAAATACTTCCTCAATGCCATGGCTCGGCAAGATTAAAAGTAATGAACACCGACATATTAGTTGGCGTTAAAGTAGAAGTGGATACTCCCTTTGCTCATAGTCCAGACAAGGGGAAAATTGAATTTTTCGTTGATTGGTAATTGTTAAACTTTACTTCAATGCACGATTTGTTACTTCTACCTAATTCATATGAATAATAGATATGTTAATACCTTGCAGATATTTATATAGATTCAACAATTGTAAATATTTAATTCAGGTTAAAACAGATTTTGTTTTCAGTTCAGCAAACGCAACTCCAGCGTTTGAAGGGAAAGGTGGAGATGATTTAAGTGGGGAAATAAGTACAACATTGGCAATGGCTTATGGAAGTGAACATGCTCTCGATTTGAAAAAGTTGTGCATTCTTCCACACCATAAATGCTGGAAAGTATACGTAGATGTTTCGGTCAGTATAAAAGAGTACAGACAAAAATATTATACCTAATTATGTTACTAAATTTCTTTTGAAAAAGGAACCTTTTATTTATTAACTTATTCTTATGACTTATCAGATCCTTCAGTGCGGTGGTAATTTATTTGATTCAGTAAGCGTGGCTGTTAAAGGAGCATTATTTAGTACTGAAATTCCTAAAGTTACGACAATGTCCATTGATGGTGGAGAACCAGATATTGAACTGTCCGATGATCCATATGATTGTGTCAAATTAGATGTTACAGGTTTTCCTGTTCTTGTAACATTGTGTAAGGTAACTGTGACATATATATTAGTAGTCAGATAATTCCAGCAAAAACAAATCGGTACTCTCAGACATAAAAAAAGCATTTCACTTCTCCTAGGTCTTATTTGAAATATAAAATTTACTTTTCTTACGTATGATAATTTGTTTACTGTTCATTTGTATTTTAGATAGGTGAGAATAATATAATCGACCCAAATGCAGAAGAAGAAACGTGTAGTTCCGCCAGCACTGTTATTTCGGTATTACCCAATGGTCGAATTACATACGTAGCAAAACTTGGATATGGAAGTTTGCAGCCTGCGACTCTAATTAAAGCATTACAGGTATGTATTCAGTTTAATTTTGTATAACTTTTTATGTTGCAAAATTTTCCTTCAATTGTCCTTGTATTGTTCTGCACGATTTCATGTTTGATTCAAATAAGAAATGACCGCATTTTAAACATAATGTGAAGCTTGCAAGTTATCAGTTACAAATAAAGTTACGAAAAATAGTGAATAATTTTTCCTTCTGTGTATTTCGGCAGTGCCACAGGAAATAGTTTTACATGTTTCTACATCTAGTAAATAAAAGAAATAAAACGGTAATAATGAACTCGTTTGCCTATGCCATATAATTTATATCACGCAAGAAGTGACTTTTTTTATCTTATACACTAAACACTCACTATCGATGCAACAGTTACTAAAATTCAATCTTTTAGGCTGGAAAAGACATTGGCATTAGGTTGAATAATGCACTTATGGATATTTTGATAAAGGAAGATGCACTCGGACCAAACAGACCAATTCTTGGTTTTCTGAGATGAAAACTGTTTACATTACATTATTGTTCTTACCTTGCTCCACGAAATGACGATATATTTTGAGATTGTACAATAAATCAATGTGCGTAAGTATTACATCGAGTAAACTACAAATTAATGATGTAAAGTCCCAACTCCCAACAACATCAGAATCAATGCAAATTACTTTTTTTTTTTAATGTGTAAACAATAACTGTATAGTTGATTTTATTATGTATCAATGGTAACCTATCTATTTACATAACCAAAGGAAACTTGATTATATCAAATGAGAAACATATATTTAGCGCGAAAAAATATCAATTTCAAATTGACTTGAATGATTTGAAAAGTGAAATAGAAAACGCTGACATGGAATCACTTCTAGTAGATGACGGAGTATGACAACCAGGGCTACTGTAAATAATAGTAAAGATGTACCGGATTTTTAATGCTGAATTTGAATTAGTTTTGAATGTTCTTATATTTAACTATCGCTTATTTATAATTTAACAAACTTAGTGCAAATATAGTACACATACCAAAAATATGTATCTAAGAACTGTTCAACTTTGTCCATTTTTCACTAGTTAGCCATAACCACTTTGCTAGGCTATCGTTCTTTGCCTCGTCAGTTATTTCAGCTAGTTTCCCATTGCTAAACAATATTGACAGGTAAATAATGTTTACGCACACTTTTAGTAATAACTTTGAGAATAATAATTACCTGAAGTAGCAGCCACTGGTACTGTTTAAATCAGGATTCAGTGCCAAATTAATAATGGTTTCCGCAGCTTGTTTCGCGGACTTTATGAAAGGCCATGTTAATGGTTTTAAAAATAGTGCACTAAAATAACTGTTATGGAAACTTAAATTGCGATTGATCTCTGTATGGGCAATTCCTGGGTGAACGGCATTTACTGTTACTCCAGTACCTAGAAGACAAATCCGAAATATTAATTTAATATAAATATATTTGAAGGCTAAGACAAACGTCTCTTAGCAAAGTTATATAGTATAAAATCTTAAACAGTAGTGAGTTGTATGCAATAATTCCTATTACAGAGAATAGATTTTTGCTCGATAAGTTTCTTACTAAATAATTGCTGCAGAATGCTATCTTAATGTGGCTGTAAGTTTAACAGTTACATAATAAGGAATGTATACCTATTAACATTACAACAAAAAAATAACTAACCAGTTAATTTGCGTGCCAGTTCTCGTGTAAACATAATGAGGGCAAGTTTACTCTGCGCAAACGCTTCACGTGCATCATATTTCTCTGTATTATTCAAATCTGAGATATTAATCTTTCCTTGTTTATATGCCACACTTGCGACATTTATAATTCTTGATGGCGCCGATGCTTTTAAAACATCTAAAAGTAAGTTCGTAAGTAAAAAGTGGCCCATGTAATTGACACCCATGTGCATTTCTATTCCCTCTTGCGTATAACTCTTGGGACAATGCATAACCCCTGCATTATTAATAAGGATGTGCAGTTTGGATTCCTCTATGAAATAAAATACATTACATATATTATCATTTGTTTTCTTAATATAGAGTGTCTTTGTAACGTAGTAACGAACTTGCGTAATCACAGGTTTACCTTTTTTGAAAAGATCGACAAATTCACGAATGCTTTTCTGTGACTCCAAGTTGCACTCTCTACAATATACATATTTGTTTTTAGTTGCAAGGACAATTTCTCGACGTGCCTGAAACGAGCGGTGAGGGTTTTAGTTTATCTCAAAATAATGTAATATCCATCGCAAACTAAACATGGCTAATAACATTAGTTATCAAGCTCTAAGTTCTAAATATCAAGAATAAAAAAAAGAAGAATCTAAACTTGAACGTCTGAATTAATTTCAGGTCAGTAAAGTTTACTTGTAAATCCGTTAGAGTTATTAAAAAATTAAGAGTAACATAAATACCGTTTCACATTTATTCATATTGCGACAAGCCATGATAACTTTAGCTTTACGTTTAGCTAATGCTAACGTCGTTTCTTTACCAATGCCTGAATTCGCACCAGTTATAATAACAACTTTCCCTTCCAAAGTCTCTTTTCCTGCATACGACTTTCCTCCCGTCCAGGCCCTGAACGAAGAAAAGAAAATTATTTTCCTCTTCCTTCGTGGCATTATTTATAGAATATCTTTTAATATCTGCAATATCCATATTTGCCACTCTGTCGTGTGGACTCTAATAATGGGTAATAGGCTTTATAATAATTGTATGTTTCTACTGGGGATATGTTCAGCATTTAGCCAGCGGGCTTATTGCTATCCTACCGGTAAGTTGCAAGGTTATGTTACATGAGACCTTTATAACACGATATATTTACTTCATTCCATATGCTCCGACCAAAGCAGAAGCGATAGTGCTGGTCCAGAATATTATACGTGGTACTTTCCGCGCCATTCTGTCAATGTTAATTCCTATTTAACAATCCAAACATCCCAAGCGAGTTGCGGAATTTTTACAGATTTTTCACCGGTCCTGCTCTTTTACCGGCTCGTGCGATTACAGTCAAGGAGTATATACGTTTACACCAGTTATATAACTACTGATGGTAAGCGATGTATAAACATTGTTTTATACTATTGTTACCTGGAAAATTGGATTAAAACATTGTTTAAACAGCGCTTAACATCAATAGTTATAACTACCAGAGATGAGTTGGGAGATTGCCACTGAAATATATTGTAAACTGGAACGCTTGCCATTTTTCATCAATAATTTATTTATTTATCATGGACTAGAACCAACGTGGCGTGGTCCATAAACGTTTTCGGTGTTTTACGTTTCTTGGAGGCTTAGAATCGAAAATGAAGCGTTTCAGGACCTAGCTCGAACAATTAAGAATACCGTAGAAATGAAATTTTACAGAGTCAACTGGGAAAATATGGAAAATACTTTCACCAACGATTGCAAGAGAGTGCTGGCTCAAATCGGGGCTTACATGTGTTTTTAGAGAAAAAATTTAGTTGCGGCTATAATGCCGGCACAGATATAACGAGGGCGATTTGAACAGCAATTAAAATTCATTTAAAATTGGCGCGCAGTAGCCGACGCTCTTCTGCGCATGCGCGTAGTATTGCATACAAGAGGTATTCGAGGCCCAAGTATTTAGTGCGTAGTGTAGATGTGTGTATTATGTATGTGTGTATGCTCATGTACGCTTAGTATGTATGTACACATACATACTAAACAAATTCGGACACGGCCTTAATCCGCAATAGTCCCTAGATGCGTTGTGTCACTTCCTCTGCGCAGTCGTCCCTAACCTGTTTTACCGACCGGTACTCGAGGAGGCACCAGTGATTTCCTGTCGAGGTTAGTCGTTCGCGCGTTAGTGGACTGACTGGTCGGAAATTAAATTGGTCGTCTATTAAAAATAGTTGCTTTTAATCTTTCACCCTCGCCGAGTCGAACGGGAGAATCGTTAAATGTTTCCTCTGGTCACGGGTGGTCCTACGATACGCTGTGTCGACTACCACGGTCGTGCCATTAGGTGGAATGGGAGCTGTTGAGAAAGTATAAAAGAGCTGGAGCAACGCTGCAGCGACGGTCGGATTCCGAGGGGCTCCGTTGATTTGGGATCATTGGTATTGTTTCTCGACCGATTGACAATACGAATCATCCGACAATGACCCTCTCACAGACTAGCGTGGTGAGTAACGGAGATTTCGAACTCGCTCGGTCCGATTTCGAATCCACCGATGAGACCTTCGTCATCGTCTTTCGAGCTTTCGGGCGCATCATAGTTATCACGAAGAATGAACCTAATGTTCTTCCAGCACCGAAAGTTTGGATGCATGAAAGCGAAAGCATTTATGCCCAGAACTGCTCGATTTGTATGCACGTAATTCCACTGGCCTTTAATGTACGAAATCTTGAACGATAGACCTTGGATAACTCTGGAGAAATTAACAAAGAGCGCATAGAAGTATTTTTTTATCTTCTCTTGCAAGAGATATTTTGTTAACCTCTGTCTTACTGTATTATACATTGATTAAACATTGAATGAAAGACGACCCCAAGTTTAGAAAAATGTTCCGACAACCGGTTGTTTTATGCGGAGATTAATTGCTATAACAAATTTTAATGACTTTTTACTTTGATATAAACGTTTTAGAATTAAACTGTTACGATCGAGCGGATGATGTAATTAAAATATGTAAATTGCATTATAATTGATATAATTCGTCATCGTCTTTCGAGCTTTCGGGCGCATCATAGTTATCACGAAGAATGAACCTAATGTTCTTCCAGCACCGAAAGTTTGGATGCATGAAAGCGAAAGCATTTATGCCCAGAACTGCTCGATTTGTATGCACGTAATTCCACTGGCCTTTAATGTACGAAATCTTGAACGATAGACCTTGGATAACTCTGGAGAAATTAACAAAGAGCGCATAGAAGTATTTTTTTATCTTCTCTTGCAAGAGATATTTTGTTAACCTCTGTCTTACTGTATTATACATTGATTAAACATTGAATGAAAGACGACCCCAAGTTTAGAAAAATGTTCCGGCAACTGGTTGTCTAATGCGGAGATTAATTGCTATAAAAAATTTTAATGGCTTTTTACTTTGATATAAACGTTTTAGAATTAAACTGTTACGATCGAGCGGATCAGATGATAGAATATGTAAATTGTATTGCAATTTATATACTGTTTCTGATTTTAAATATTTTATTAATAATTGACTATGATTTTCTTGTTTCAACTTTTCTAGTAAGTTTTTAATACAGATTAAGGAAGGGAATGTTACTGGCATGAAAGTATGAAAATTGACTATCGATAATTATTGTTAAAGTTCTACTTTTGTACCTTTGACAAGAAAAGAATAACAAAGAACTAATTGTTTCCGTTTAAATTTATAGTTGAAGCTGTATAATACCGTGATTGAAGATGTAATAGCGGGAGTACGAGAATCATTCTTGGATGAAAGTGTAGACGAGCAAGTTTTACAAGAGCTCAAGCAGATATGGGAGACGAAGCTCATGTCCAGCAAGGCGGTGGAATTAAATCCAGACCCACCAGAACCACAACCTCCTCAGCTTAACACTCACAAATCGGTCGCAGCCAGTAAAGGTTTGTTTAATTTATTTATTCTAAATACAAAAGTGCCCAGCTTTCACAATATAATCGGAAAGGAAATTGAACTCGTGCCATACCCTCTTAATGTTATTGTTTTCCAGCTGCCAACGTAGGTAATGTTGGAAACCACTTTGTGCAACAATCGCAACCTGTTCCCCCCATACAGCAGCCTCAACAGCACCCGCAATCACAACCCCAACAGCAGCAACAACCCCAGCCGCAGCAGCAACAGCAGCAGCATGCCCATTCGGCTGGCATACCTGTACAGCAACACGCCAATATGCCAGTACAACAAGTTGTGGCTGCACCAGCAACAGTTTTAGAACGACAAGTGCCTCTTCAAATTACATTACCAAAACAAGCTGGTGTACCAGACGCTGAACAACGTGTTCTAACTATACAAGTTCCTGCTTCGGCAATTCAAGGTAACGTGGGAACTAATTCATCTAAATATTAAAAGAAGTTGTTTTTAATATATAAATACTTTAAATATTTCTTTGTGGATTCAGGTAATCAACTGCATACTATCTTGACGGGTCCTGTAATTACTGCAGCAATGGGATTACCAGCCAATTTAGCATCTACATTACTACAGCAACATGTGAATGCCACGTTTCAAGGTCAGGCAGCTTTGACACCTATTCAAGTGAATCAGCCTGTACAAGTTGTCACACAAAGCACAAACAACGTGGTGTCGCAAAGACCAGTACAGAATCAGGTATGATTAAATAATTGAAGTAATATAAGTGGTACTAAATGTAAATTAATAATCATGTATATATGATAGCAGGGTAATATAGCTCAATTAGACGGACCTCTTGGTGATTCATCGGATGATGATGAAGAAGAAGAGGAAGAAGACAATGATGACGATGATGAAGATCTTGATGATAAAGAGGAAGAAGAAAATGAAGAAGCAGCTGCTCGTGAGGAGGTAACATACTGTTAAGATAATGGAAGACATGTTTAACTTTCCTTTAATATTATTTATGGCACTTGATTTATATAATTAATATTGAACATTACATGCATTTATTAATATGTTGCTTTCTTTGTAGGAGCCACTCAATTCGGAAGATGATGTTACAGATGATGATCCTACTGACTTATTCGATACGGATAATGTTGTTGTATGTCAATATGATAAGGTGAGGGTTTCGATCTGTACCATTAAAATTTTCATTAACACTACGTGTGTAATCAAGATATAAGAGAATTACGAGATGCTTGTTTTTCAATTTTATTGGCTACTTTTTATATTACTTGTACAATAAGCATATTATATTACAGATCACCAGGAGCAGAAACAAATGGAAATTTTACCTAAAAGATGGTATAATGAACTTAAATGGAAAAGATTATGTATTTCAAAAAGCTAACGGAGATGCCGAATGGTGAATTCCTTCACAGTGAAGAGTGCACGCCATTTATAACTCTAGGACATTTCGAGGGCAGCCAATGTCTACACTCGTACCGGAGACGAGTTTTCGTGATTGTAAGAATCAACTGAATGACCTATGAACCTGCAATCACGAAGCAGTGTTGTGAATAAAATTATTAAATGCAGGTGGCGGAGATTGGATTTGTCGAGTAAGCTTTTGGGACACCAGCTAAGATCACGAGTGCATTTTACATTATATGTTTATTTCCTGTAGTTTGCAACAAGGGTTTATTTCCAATCATCGGGCTACGTTTAACACTTTGTTGGTAAAGTTTAAGCGTCGAAATATTATTTATATGTGTAGTAGTCCAAAAGTGGTGCGAGTTGCAAATCGTAGTTTTTGGATATTGCTAGATTATGGCATGCTATCTTGTTTTAAATGAAGTATTTTATATTTTCCATTGAAAGTACATAAAATCGAGCCGTTCCGACAGACGCAATCTGTACTATATATCGTTTCTTCTTAATCTACGGTTCATATGAATCAATTTAATTACTTCGTGAATAAGAGGTCCCAGACTTGTCATAAATTTGGAAAAAGTATTGGTCGATGACATCGGCATAGTCAAACCCAATAGATCTATGTTATTTAAAGAATTTGATATCAGTTCTGCATCCTCTATGAACGTGGAATAACTGTAAATAAACAAAGACAAACCGCATTTCACGGTATATGCAAAAATGCTTAAACAAATAAACGTATCTTATATTATTGTCAATAGTGGTAATCTCATTATCTACTCGTTTTTTTCACTGATTATGTTCTCATAGTAATCCTGTATAAAGATTAATAGTATATCGGCCTTCTGTTTGCAATTTAATTATATGTTCTAATTGAACTATATAAACATAGTTAAAAAATTGCTCGGTTATTGAAAATTCACATTACATGGTACAATTGAGACCAATATTATGAAAACTATTTGCTGTTACATAATCACATCTGATCTTTCGAGTACACGCACTGTCTAGATATTACAATAAAAGTAGTTTCACTCCTGCATATAATAGATTCATGGAACAAAAGTTAGCGACTAGCCGTTGAATCTGGACAGATTAAACGCAAGAAAATAAGTTGACAAGCTTTTATCTCCTTAACTAAACAGACCCTGACCTACGAAAGAAAACCTGCAAACCCTCGGAACGTGATATCACATCTGTTTTGTAAACAAGTAAATCACTTGTTTAAAATAATGTTAGATATTATACACTAATTTTTATCAGCTACTGGATTACTTAATTGACGGCACTAGCTCCAGATATGATTTCAATTAGTTCTTTAGTAATAACTGCCTGTCGTGTGCGATTATAGGTTAGGGTAAGATTTTTTATCATTTCAGATGCATTTTTCGTTGCATTTTCCATCGATGTCATACGTGCCGACTGCTCGCTCGCGTAACTTTCTTTGAGCATCCAGAAAATCGTCGCAGCTGCACTGAACTCCAACCAACAGTCAACGGTATCCTCATCGATCATATCGTAGAGGACAAAGTTCTTGCCCGCAAAGACAGTGCTTCGATTATACATGTCCACAGTGTCAACGGTATAAAGCCCAGCATTAACAAACCTATTAAATAATCCTTATTAAAGTACAAGCACCGAGTATAATATAATCTAAAGACTCGACATTCAAAAACCAGTAAAAAGTGATCGTAATCTTGGAGTGGTCGGTTATCAAATGTCAGTTTCTTAGATCGGAAGAACCATTGCACAAACTTGTTAAAATATATCTGTGTTCTGGCGATGTTATGCTCCTTTATTATCTCGAGGATTTTCTGCCCGATGAGTCCTGCGTCTATGAAAGTCATTACCTTTTTACCAACTTCACTAGCCACCCAAAGTACCTTCTCCGGGTAGAGGCGGGCCAGAATAGTACGATTTTTCTCACCGACGCAAAAGAATTTTGTACCCAGCTTCAATTTTGGTGACTTATCTAGTGCCTTTTCGACCTCTTTCGAGAGCCCTGAGTGGATGGCGCCGCAAAGTCCGCGATCGCCCGTAAGAGATACAATTAACTGTAACTCCAGGTCCACCGGAGGTGTCACTTGAGCTTGTTCGAGGAACACTTGTGATCCTTGTCCGAGAGGTCTTGTTGCCTTAAGCTCTCTCTCAGCACGTGCATATTTTGCCGCTGATACCATCCGCATGGTTTGCGAGATTTTCTTTGTGTTATTCACTGACCTTATGCGGTTCTTTATCACTTTCAGCGAAGACATGCTTTCCCTCTGTCGAGGTGCAGTTACATGTTTGGAACTAACCGATATTCTCACAATTTTCACAAATTTTCACACAAACCACGATATGAAATTCATTAATTCAGTATTTAACAACATGTTTAACAAGTTCGGAGTACGGTTGTCAATTTTTCTCTAACTTGAATGCTGTTACGAGTAGATGGCTAGATGATAATTAACTTCACAAAGTTATTGTCAGTTGTTTATCGATCCTCTTAATGTTCTGTATTTCATACAATCCATACAATGGCATAAGTCATATTAAAGTTTAGTGCAAACGAAAGTTCGCTTTCTTTTTCCAATCGTTACTCAATTACTATAATAAAAATGTGTGTAAACAGAATTGGGTCAGGTTGGGTAAATGTCAAGCTATAATGATCGATCATTGGTACTGAAATTGGAGAAAAACAAATTTCTTTACTTGACTTAGATTGCACTTAAATTTAGAATAATAACAACACGTATACCTGTACTGAACGAATAGTTTTATTCCAACGTTGAAATGCTTCGATCTGTGATTTACAACGATGTACGCGAGTTCATCTTCTTACTTCCTTTTGTCTAGGACAGGAAAATGTTGATCGTATGCGCAGTTGGAGCTTGGATTTGGCCAAGTATGCTCAAGTTTCCAATGTATTTTACATACAAAAAACATGTGCTATTAAATTCTAGTGATTTCGAGTGGTGTTTAGTCGAGAGCAGCTGCTCCAGAAATAATTTCAATGAGCTCTCTAGTGATCACGGCTTGACGCGTACGGTTGAAAGTTAACGTAAGTTTGTCGATCATTTCGCCAGCGTTCTTACTGGCGTTATCCATGGCAGTCATTCTGCTGGACTGTTCGCTGCATGCACCCTCCTTCATGGAATAGAAAAGTAAAGATGCAAGAGAAAACTCCAGGTAACTCTGAATTACATCCTCATCTAAGGAGTCATAAACTGATAGTTTCGGAGCACTTGCAACAGAACCTTTATCGAACAGTGGCAAATCCGCGACACCGTACGATACCACCGACTTGAATTTGTTGTATACAATTCGCCCAGATCCAAATTCATACCTGGAATAATTAAAAGATGTTACTTAATCCATTCGCATATTCGTACGTACTATTTCTTATACATCAAATCTTTTGAAACTATATTCATAAATAAATATCCAGAACTATATTAAAATCTTGTCATTCATACTACAGTAATGTAGACTTACCCGCTGTCCAAGACCTGACTCGCAACCTTGGATGCATCAATAAAAGTCGGGGGCTTACGACCCACTTCGGATGCAACGAAAAGAATATTCTTGGCAAAAAGCCTCGAAAGAATAGCCCTAGACTTTTCACCAATGCAGATAATTTTGGTATTCTCTCGTTCATTCGAATCCGCCAGTAGTACGTCTCTAATGTTTCGAGAGACACCAGTGTGGACTGCTCCGCAAAGTCCACGATCGCTCGTTACGGCAATTACGAGTTTCTTTGGTGCCCCTTCAGGAGCAGCAATTTCTGCCCTCTCATAGAATATTTTCGTACCTTCTCCGAGGGGTCTCGCTTGTTTAAGGTCTCGCTCGGCACGATTATACTTTGCAGCCGATACCATCTTCATAGACTGTGTAATTTTTTGAATGTTCTTCACAGATTTAAGGCGAATTGAAATTGCTTTCAGGGTTGCCATCCCCCGTTGCTGCTGCTGTTGAACGGCAGCATGGGGCACCAGAATCATAGCTTGACGTAGCATCGTTATCCAAGATCCTGCCCCTAAAATGTCACCAATAAAAGACCTAAAATTCCAGCAGCATGGAAGCATGGAACGCTTGATCAAATTAATTGAAGAGAACGATTAAATTGAACCATGTCGTGGACATTCAGGGTGTGAGCATCCAGTCATATACACCTTATGAAGGAAAAGGTAACGTGTTCTATTCAATATTACCAATAAATTATTACATAAATTATTAAAGAAAACCCTCGGAATCAATATCCAAAGTTACGGCCCCGTTTATGTAATCACGGATGAAAGTCATTTGCTTCATACGAATGCTTAAAATCAATTCCAGTTCAAATGTAACTTTCGAATAAATTCACACCGCAGCACTACCTTGCCATTTGTCATTTATTTCAGCGAAATTTAAGAACAACTGCGAGAACTCACCAGACAAATTTTAACACACGGAAATTACAGATGTAGAACGACCCGGGATGACAAACCGTGGCAAGATAAGAGACTTCTCATCAGCTCCTGGGTCATGGGCCGGGTGTCACATAGCGCATATATGTACATACTATGTGTCACATAGAGCGCGGCGCGTCAACGCGGCGCGAATGAATAACCAATCAGAACTATGGCAGAAGTGACGCACGTTGTTAAACACAGTTCTGATTGGTTATTCATCCGAGACACGTTAACGCGCCACATTCAATGTGGCTACCATCATGCTCTTTTTATTATATTCTCTATATAATAAGTTAAAGAATTAAATTAGTGTCGGACTCGTTAAAGTACGGAAAGGGGTTAAATATGTACATCGATCTGTGACGTTGGATGTGAGTCAGAGAAGCTTAGGTTTGCCGCACACAGGTGGCGCCACTGTCGCTCGATTTCGAATATGGCGCCACTGTCGCCCGATTTCGCATGTGACGCTACTCCAATGCGAAAAGCGAAGCAGCTGGAAGCAGCTACGAAGAACTTTAAACTGTTCGTCCGTCACGTATTATAATCTTTGGTTAGGATATTAAAAAGGAAGAGGACGCATGTGTAATTACCAGTGACGTAAGTGGAAATTGTTACACTACCCCATCAATCAACACAATAATATTTGTGTGGACATGATTATTAATTTGACTTTTCATTTTATTCCATGGATCGTAACGTTACATTTATCACGTGTTGTCTTTGAAACTGAAGTATATAAGGAACAGTACTATGGATCCTTATATCTATTTATAAAGATTTAACGTAAATCTAATTGTATAATAAATTCTGTTAAGTATTAACTACTTAAAGTAGAAACACTATTCTTTCATTCATGAATTATGTATAATCCTTATTTTATATGCAAAATGAAGTTAATGTGCAATGAGTCGATATGATATGCATCGTTTTAATGTACATTTCATTGGACTCGTAATGCATTCAGATTTATATAGAACGGTTTTGTCTTAAATGTGGTGAAACTTGATGTACCATTAAAAGTATCGTTTGAAAAAGATTTCCATTTGATCAATGTAGCATTCATCTCGGCTGAAGTTAATCATGTTCATCTTTCATGGTGGCAAGATGTGGCTCAGACAGCTTTGTAATGCTAACATGTACAGACCTGCTTTAAGAGGTGATGTATTTTATTGTATCGATATGCGCCAAAGTAAACACACCGTTGCAATGACATTTAAATTTACTTAGTATTTATCGTATCTGTTAGAAAAATGAATTTGTCGATTTTAGATTCTCTGATTTCATTTCTACAGCTAAGAGAGGACTGATGTCGAGCCAACAGGATAGCCACATCGTTTGGATAGATACAGAGGTATACATTTATTTCTACATTTAATATGCCTGTACTGATGTGCACAAAGAATATAGTTGAACATAATAAAGTCGATATTTTTAGTTAACAGGGCTTGATCTAGATGCGTCAAAAATCTTAGAGGTAGCATGTCTGGTAACAGATAGTGACTTGAATGTTACAAGCCCTGAGTTTGAAGTTATAATTAATCAACCTGATTCAGTATTAAATAATATGGACGAATGGTGCTTAACTCATCACGGACAGGTAAGTTTAATGACATTATTTTTATAAATTCACTTATATAAGTGAAACCGATTTATAAATTATGCAGAACGTAGACATTGAAAAATTGTTATTTCCAGTCAGGATTAATTAAAAAATGTCAAGCAAGTACAATAATGGTGACCGAGGCGGAACAAATGCTCCTAGAATTTCTGAAAAAATATGTTCCAAAGGGCAAATGTCCGTTAGCAGGCAATACAGTATACATGGATCGATTTTTTCTTTCAAAGCATATGCCCAAAGTCAATGAATATTTGCATTATAGAATTATTGATGTTTCGTCAATCAAAGAAGTTGCCAGGTAAATTATTTGTATATATTGGAATAATACTTGTATTGCATCTATGACAGTTAATCATTTAGAATTTTAACGTTAAATAGTTACATCATTTTTTTAATTGTCTTCAATTGTCTTCTTGCAGGCGGTGGTATAAAGACACGTACAGCAATGCGCCCAAGAAGCATTTAAATCACCGAGCACTTGCAGATATTAAGGAAAGTTTGCAAGAAATGATATTTTACAAACAACATATATTTAAATGATAGTTAAATGAGATCAAATTATAGCCCTTGAGATTTTAATTGTAAATAAAAAATGGTTTGTATTTACATTAGAAATATTTTTAAGGTGATATAATGAAATATCTTATTATTTAATATACTGGTGAGGTGTCCTTTCATATTTGTACTTACAATTTTATTTAATCAAGTATGAACACCTTCTATGTCACAAAAGAAAACATTTCTGAGAAGGACTTGTTTCTTAATTTAAAAGACTTCCGAACGCAACATAGACGATACATGATTAATTATTTATAAATACCAAATTGTTCGGAAATATTTATTTTGTACAATGAATGATCTCGTAGATATGTAACCACCATTTTTACACGATTGTAGCGAAAGGAAATTAACAGACTGAAGGTGATTTCAAAATATATTGTGAATACAATCGTATTTAAACTCAATCTTAATTTATTTATAAGAGCAATGTCAGTGCTGTCAAGAAAGACAAAGAAGAGTTATGGATACGAGTCTAACATTCTTTTTTGGAAGAATAAATTTCCTTTTATTCACCCCATACCTAACATTGCTTTATTTCATGTTAACAGTGTACATAAGACCATGGTCGCAAATTAAGATTATTTTTAGAAAATATAAGGTTGCGGTGATCAAAAACACTGACCCACACGTGTCAATCGAAGAAGTATACGAAGTGCAACAGGTTGGGTCATGCAAAATGGCACTTTTACAATTAAGTATCATAAATATTGAACTTAATTCAATTCAGTATAAATGTAATATCACTTTGATACTATGCGTGTATTATAAAAAAGAACGATTATCAACTAATTATGCTAAGCATTTAGCAATATCATAATATAATTTCTTAATAACCTTTAACTTGTGAATTGATGCACGTATTTGCATTTCTATAAACCTCTTCTCAGTTGATGATAATTTTTGTTGTAAGGCCTCAATTGTTTTACCTCTACGAAAACCTTCTTCTATAAGCCTCCGCCTAAATAATAGCATCTGTTTTGAAACCCCCTGTAAGTATCTTCGATGCGTACAGACTGCTCTGGTTAGTTGTTGATAACTTAGTACCGAATTTTTACATTTTACTTTCCTTAGCGAAATATGAGAATTAAAGCATTTCGATGTTGGAAGTAGAGAAAGTACTGTTAATTCATTGCCACAATTGTTGACGTCCCTCGATGCAGGAGAGTCATCATTTGCAGTGACATGAAGTGTAGAAGTTTCCTTTAAATGTTAAAAAAAATAAACGATAATTATTGCATGTTACATATATTAGATATTGAAATTACACATAACATCGTAAACTCTCCGCAGTATTATTCCGGATGTCTATTCTTGTGGCGACATGAAGTACGAACTAATACTCGTAATGATCACATTTACATTTTGTTGTATTTATTATATAATACCTGAGAAGCATGGTGCGTTTCACTTGAATTATCGCCCATCAATATATGAATTTCATTATCAGGAGAAATATCACTTTCGTTGTTAGCGCTGATACACTCTGGACCATCTGTTTCATATGGCAAATTTAATGACGGAAGTGCCTCTGGTTTCAGTCTTCTTTTCTTGTAATCCTGAGAAGCATAATCGCTGTCCTTAAAATGTTTATAGCATACAACTCGAGTCTTTAAATGTGCACTGCTTAAGCCTTCTTCTTTAAAAAATTTAATACACTTCTTCCAAAGTAACAGTCTTTTCTCATCACTGGGAAACCGATGAGACGGTACGATTCCTCCAGATTTACATCCTAATACGCTACAAGCTCGGACCATTATTATTTATTAATTGAGACCAGCTGAAAGTATTTTGAAAAATAACTCGGTTAGTTGTATTTACACACACGTTACTACCTAATATAAATTACATATTTACTTTTGGAATCGCTAAGTAATGAACTATTTAAGATGATGTGGAAGTATCATTCTATACATATAAAAATGTGATATTTATAAAACTTTTCTCCAAACTGGGTGCTCTGAATTATCTGAAATCTTAACACGTAACTAGCCCTAAGGAAGAACGCGCTGCTCGTGAAATTTCATTTTTCGAAACAAAATGTCTTTCTTTGTGAAGTTTCAAATGATTCGGTGCGCCCAATTTGGAGAATAGTTTTATAAACATTTTGATTTTTAGTTATGTATATGACACTTTCATATCACCTTAAGAATGCTTATGTTTGCATGCATTTTAAACTTGATTGTATCGTACTTCATCTTAAAGAGATCCACATGTGACATTTACGTTGTTGATTGTAACTCCTGAATCGTTTGCCGCTGATTTTAAGGCCAATTTTCGCACATGGCATTTATTATTATTATCCATACAGAACTCCTTCGATAATTCAGTTTTTATGAGATGTAAATGCTAGAAGCAGATTTCGATAGAAGGTAGAACGTGACAGAACACGAACGTTTTATTCCGAGTAATTCGTATCTTCACCAACAGATGGCGGCACTGTTTAATTTCCTCTATCTCTCTTTTTCCTACGCTGATACCTGGCAGCTTCTTTGTCTAAGAAGAGATTCCTCTAATAGGCCAGTAACGCCATCTTAGCATGGAGTTACTACAATGAAAATAGTTCCACTTGTTTCTTAAAAAAATAAACCATACATCTGTATTTTTCGGAGTAGAGAATGTAAATTTATACGTTCTGTGGCAGAAGCTAGTTTGGTCGGAACGGACCGGTTATTTATTAACTTATATGGTGAAAACAAGCATAAGTAATTATTCTATGTCGTATTAATTAGTTACTCTTATCCTATCAGATATTGTTATAACTAATAGAAAAGGTAACTTTTGCTTAGATAGATATCTCATGACTTAACGCTGTTCTAGGTGAACCATGAGGATTACACTTATTTTGTGTCGTCAACATTTAGGAAGAATGACGAGAAGGCATTGGCGTGTCCAAGGAGTGCAGATTCCAATCGACACTGGGGCCGAACGTGCTTTACAAAAATACAATGTCGAAATCCTGAATCCTGTGGATATAATGAAGATAAAACATCCATTTAAAAAGTATAACCATTGTTTTCATTCTAAAATGTCTTCTCATTTGCATGAAATGAAACGTATCGATGTGTCCGTAATGATATAATTAATTTAACATTTATTTTCCTTGTGTAGGATAGAGTTTGAATACTTGAGACCTCCACCACCTTTACCACATAATCGGAATCATCCCAATTGGTCAAACACGCCCTGCTTTACCTATAAAGAACAAAACGCATTATTGGAAGGTGTCGCACAAGCACAGATATTAACAAAAACGATAATTATAGAGAATGATTTGCCACAGAAAATTAAGGATTTGAAGGAAGACACAAAGGAAAAGATAGATAACATAGTTCAAAGGTAACTTATTTTAGGGGCTCGTCAGAAATAATATATAAACAGGGGTTTGTTATTCCCTTCCACATTTTAATATTATACTATAACTTAGATGTTGATTACACGTAGAAGTATTTTCAATAGATGGTAGCAATTTTAATTCTATTTTCTGGTATTTATTACAGAATCATTCGCAATTCTACCATGTTTGATGCACATCAAGAACTGTTACCAAAATTAAAAAATCCAGACAAACCAATGTTTGTGTTTCCTAGAGTTTATGGCTTAACAACGTTAAGGAAGGTGTAAGTATGAAAAGGGACTACGTTTAAATTGATATAGTTAAATATCTAACAAATCTTTCCTCCTATTAGAGGTAATTTAGCACAGAAACTAATTCATCTGTGTGAGAATTTGGATGGCGCAGATACTCTTTGCAAACGTAGCATGATTTATGATGGAAAAGTGTCTGTACCCCTAGGTAAATTACCTCTTCAAAAATATGTATTGTTTCAATGTTTGCCACAATTCATCATAACTCTGCATTTGATTTTTCTAGAAAAGGATTCCAAATTGTTGCAATTTAATTTAACAATGAATATTATGATTAATTCTGCCTATCCTTTGAGTCCAATACTTGCTCCAGACGAAGGTTTAAATGCAGATCTTCCGAGCATAGAACCTTGTGAACCAACTATAAGTTTATCACAGGATCATATTTATGTTCTTGAAGATATCTACCGTACGTACAAGTGCTTCAATTTATTTATGACATTCCTTAGGAACTATTAACGGAAATTAATAAGTAATATATGGGATAGGGCGCAAAATATAATATCTAAAACAGTGTAAATAATTTCCTTGCGACACAATTTTAGTAACATGAAGTACAAACATATATTTTATATTTCAGCTATTGATTCTGAGTCACCATGGATGAATGTGCATACAATTTTTATATATGACAATCCAGAGACGATAAAAAATTTAACGGAACTACCTGTAACAGAATCCCAAGTTTTAGCTCAATCTATGCTAAAATCATTTGCAGCGGCCGCAGCTTGTGCAAAGCAAAGATTCGGAGCATATGTCAAAGAATTACCGGAACCAATAACGATACAATGCATACAATCAGATGGAAAATCATTTTATTTCTCAGTTTTCCAACTAAATACATTAAATTTAAATGGAGTAACAGGTACAAAGAATTTCTGGTGGTGTAGTCCTAAATTAGATCTTTTTGAAAAAGCAATGTACGAAGCAGGCATACCAACGCTAACCGGTTATAATCCTGAGGTATTCAAGACGATGTTAGCGTTTTTCAAACATAAATAAGATGTTGAATAAAAGATACGTATTGTATAAATTACACATTAATTCTTTTATTATGGGAGTGTTTTATTTTACTTATTATATAATCCTTTAAACTTAGTCTAGTACGATAATATATTCTTTGCCTTTTGTTCCTTTCATCTTCAATTATTTATATATTACAAGCATTGAAGTTTCATAAAATGACAAAATTCAACATTAGATTCCGTTTACTTTCTTCTAAAGAATTTAAGATATATCGTCGCTCCTAGTATTGCTAACATTAATATAATAATCAAGATTAATACAAATTTATTTGTTAACACTCTCTTTCTCATGGTTCTCATTATTTTTTTAGCTTTATCTAACTCTTGATCGGTCTGCGATAACCTTCTTTTCGCTCTTAACAATGTTTCTCTTTGTTCACCCAACTCTGCGATAACCTGGGTGCCAATTTGTTCAGTTTCTACTGCAACTGTTTGCGATCTCGCTATAGACTCTGCTGATCGCTCCAAGGCTGCTTGGCTCCCCAACAGTGGCCGCCGATGTTCGGCGTCCCAATTGATTCCAGCGTTCATTTTGTTCTTTAAATTACAGACTTCGAAGAGATCCGTCTATGTCCATTACACTGATCGGTACGGTATAACTACTAAAAAAAAAAAAAATGAACTATGGAAAGACATCCTCTAACGCTTCATTAGGAATCGGTAGATCAAGAGGCACATACAATAAAAAATCTTTGAAGTTTAATCTGAACAAAGTAAACTTTGTTAAAAACACTTCCATTGAGTGCAGTCTGTGGATTTCAGCCCGAGATAGGTGAGTCTAGTACCACTGGTTTTACAGCGATGAACCTCAGCTAACTTATCTTTCTCTACGTCCTTTCCTTTTCCAATATCTTATTCATTTGGTGCTTTTATAGTGGGAGTATTCCTGGGTGATTATATAGTTTCGTGACTCCCTCATCCCACTGTATCAGTTGGGCTGATTTTGGCTGGTTGGTACGGCTCATGAGAAGTCACGTTTTCCATCTGTTGTTGCGAGTCGCAACACTCTTTGGTCGCAACTTGCGATTCCAAGATGGCGGCTCTCCCCAGCTCTCCTCACCTTCATCTGTTCCCCCCCATACTTAAGGCGAATTTACACGATGCCAGTAACTCGTATGAGTCACTAAACCGAGTATTACTCAGTATTACTCGTCTTGGATAAACTATCATTCCAATACATACTGGGGTGGAGTATTCGCCCAAGTGCCAATGCGCAGGGTTGGGTAAGTATAATACGTCAAGTAATATTCGTGGTTTTCTACACGTATATTACAACGTATAATACGTCCCTAGTTTTCTACGCAGGCACGAAGTATATTACCCCAAACTAAATGTACTAAGCGCATGCGCAACCTCAGATTAGTACATATTCCAAACCGCGGGATGGCGCTGATGTCGTATACTTGTGGGGATTGTCGAATATATTTCACCACTTTATCTATAATTATTGCTTTATTATCACAGAAAAAGGAGCGGATTTCCACGTGCGCTCTAGAATTGGTCACAAAGTCTTCTCCTCCGATTTTCAACCGTTTTCAAAACATTTTACGACGTAGTCGTCTTTTCGTTCGAGGTAAGTACAGTAATGCGCACGCGGGGTAACGCAGTTTGCCCCGTCCTTAACGCATCGCGCTCGTCGCGCGCTACGCCCCTGGTGGACAATGGCCGAACTTCGTCCCGAGCCCGCCACATACTCTTACCTTCCGCTCTATCTAATACTCATTGAAATACACATTCATCGGAATAAATTTGAACGTCTACTTCTTTCAGTGTGGTTTTATCCAAAAGAACTTTTCCACATCTCGTTGGAAAAATCCAGAAATGTCCGTAATAAATTCCGAATGAAGTGGAATATTCCTTTAATTCTCCAAAATAGTATCCCGTTAAATAGGCCAGCAAAAGGAACGGCGTGAAGTTGAAAACATTGAAGCGGAAGAAATCGACGCGCCATGACTCGCTTTTGCGCGCGAGGGAACGTTTACGAGCCGAGTTCTCCCCGAACGATGCGTTTCGTCCGTTCCGAGTGGCAGTTCAATAACGACGAGGGTGCTTACAAATAATACAACCTATGACGTCTGGCATTATTTCAGGCCCCGTTGGAGCTCCCGTGGACGTGAAATTAACGTGATAATAGAAAATCGGAAGAGTCGCGTCCAGTGATCTGGAGCGCTGAGAGGCCGTCACTCTAGAACGAAGGTATTTATCCGAAACCGTCAATTCCACCTCTGGCACGGACTACTCGGATAATATCGGTCGTCGAGGGCCCGAATAACCTGTGTTCGCATTGGGGATGTCGAGACGGCATTCCAAGAGAGCGCCCTTTCTTCGGAGAGTCCATCCGACCAGTCAAAACTCAAAGACCACAACAGGAAATGTCTTACAATGATGGCGGGCGCTCTATACGAAAATCCGGCAGCAAGTCACCGAAGAAGCTGCGTGTGACGAAGGGGGAGAACAGTGACAAGGCCACTACGACGATAAGCTACGGTCATCACCACGGACACAGATACATCGAGCATCCTCAGCCATCCGTGCATAAACGCAATTTGTACATCGTCTCGTTTCCTTTGATACTTCTGTTCAACATACTTAGAACTTTGTTATATCAGCTGTTTGTGGTCTTCAAATACCTTTATACGTCTATGTCGCGGTTAATTCAGCGGAGACAAGCTGCGAGAAGCGCCTGTCAATTAGAGATCGTTGTCGGTCAAGAGACCTCGGCGACCCTGTTAGGGGTGACGAGTGGTCGTTTAGAAAACGCGGAGATGTCGCAGATACCGAGAAGACACGCTAGTCCTGGTCCCGGGGATCCATTGCTAGCCAAGCAGAAGCATCATCATCGGAGAGCGTTTGAATTTATCAGTAAGGCTCTAAAAATCGATGAAGAAAATGAAGGTATGACGTCAAAATTGATGAAACTGATTAACTGTCCTTTCGTTCTTGGGAGAATTAGTCATCTTTTATTCCTTTTGATTTGAGTCCGAGTAGTTAAATATTTAAAATAGCCTTGCGAGAAGATCTGAGTCGTGCCCGAGGCTATTTTACCATTATAGGACTCTTATTGACTCGATTGAAGCCAACGATTTATTATAAGACAATCCCTGTAATCCAAGATTTTCTAAAGTTAGTTTTTAATTTATTAATAAATGTGTCGTAATAGGTCAAAAGGAAATGGCTATTGAATTATATAAAAAAGGAATTGGAGAGCTAGAAAAGGGAATCGCGGTGGAATGCACTGGTGGTCGAGGAGAAGTTTGGGAACGAGCTCAGAGGCTTCGCGACAAGATGCGCACCAACTTAGTCATGGCCAAGGATAGACTCGATTTTCTGGGTTCGTGTCTTTGCAGTTATCTTAATCCTATTATTTTTAGAATATGTTCGTTAACTACCACTTTTAAGACTACCTTAGAATAATTCTTTGCAAAACAATAAAGTCGAGAATGTACATATTAAGCGAATATTTTTATCGTTGCAAGTATTTTTGTAGTATCTGTACCTGTGTTTGCTGAACACCGCGCTGTATTACCATGGCATCGTGCATTGCATTGTGAAGAATGTTTAGTATTTAACAAAAATTGGCTTATTGTCTTGTATCGATGTTAAATTCACATCTTAAACCGTTTCAATATATAAAAGCATGCTTGATGTGCCGTGTTTTGTGCTGAGTTTCTGTGGTTTTATTGTATGTGTTAAAATATATCTAGTCCATTTCGATTTTTAAAATTGTATAAAATCACCGGTGAAATAGTCCTAGAGGTGGTAAGATACAGATATGAATTTTAAGGCTCTCGGGACTGGTACGTTCAAGTGGTTAAATAGCATACCGATAGTCCAACCGTTCAGTAAGAGAGTATCGGTTTCTATGCTATCTCAGTTAGATATGCCTACCGCAGCATGGCAGAGAATGTTTGTACTTTTTGTAGCGAGTATGTGCGAATTGAAAAACCTGGAACTTACGGACGAAAATCAAGGGACCGGGAACTGTAAGGAAGAGGATCGACCAGGAAATTATCCAACAGCCAGGCGCAACTTACGCACCGCTCGATCTAATCAACTTATCACACATACAAATCACAATAAACACAAAAATAATTCACAGACAATGGACACAAGCCACAATACATACTCACAAGTACCTAAGCCTACGCAAAGATCACGATCGCCAAAAAGCTATTATGCTCGTGCTCCTGAAGGTATACAGCATTAATTCCATTGTAATTAATAGTTCTTTTCATTTAGTTCGATGTAATAGTTCACGTACACTCAAAGGCTGCGCATTAGAATATTGTATGAAGATTGCTTATAATTGGTGCTTTATTTATAATTTAAAATGCATGTGCTTAGGACATTTTTTTTATACTGTTTTGGTTTCTTGGTCCATGTTTAATTAATGGCTTTTGTAAATATTTAAAAAAGCAACGGAGATAATAGGTTTCCTCTCAGATATGGAGAAATTGTACAGGAATTTTCCTCCTATGTTTGGCGTTTGAAACTTATTTAAAAAAAGTTATATTCTAAAATTATACAGGCAGTTCTAATTAGAGTAGTGTATAGATCTTCTAGATTTCCAAATCACTCATCTTTCTGGTATTCCATTAAATATTTCAATATTTTGTAAAACACTTTAAATAAATTAATCTCGAAAATATGTATTTTTACTCGTTGCAGCATCTGGAAGGAAACTTGCAGTACCTGGAAAGCGAATAGCAGGTGCAGTAATGAGTAAGAGTCAAACATTACCACGAAGTATGGGTCGCTCTACACCTTCATTACCTTGTCATCGTACAGCTCCGATCAAACCATGTTCCACCCCCCCTGCGGTCAAAAGGCAGCTGTCAGTGCCAGGAAATGGATCACCGATACGAAGGCCAGGAACTCCGAATACTACTAACAGCAACCGGGGTACACCTACAAAAAAGGCGCCTGTGCTTAAAGGTGTTGATCCAAAACTTGCCCAAGTGATACTCGATGAAATTTTAGAAGGTGGAACTGCGGTTCAGTGGGAAGATATCGCTGGACAGGAAGTACGAACGATTTCTAACCTATAAATATTTAAACCTTAGAGAGAGAGAGAGAGGTACAGAAATTAAATTAACCGAGGATATTTTCTAGACTGCAAAACAGGCGCTACAGGAGATGGTGATCTTGCCTTCCCTTCGGCCAGAATTATTTACAGGTTTACGTACACCTGCTAGAGGTCTCTTACTTTTCGGTCCACCTGGGAACGGCAAGACTTTGTTAGCACGCGCGGTGGCGACGCAGTGTCACGCTACATTCTTTTCCATATCTGCAGCCAGTTTGACATCAAAATATGTAGGAGAAGGAGAGAAATTAGTGCGAGCTCTTTTTGCAATTGCTCGAGAGCTACAACCATCTGTAATATTTATAGACGAAGTAGATTCGTTGTTGAGTGAACGCAGAGACAATGAGCACGAGGCATCAAGGTATTATATTGAAGAAATAGGATCACTAAATATCTGAACTGTTAAAGTTCCATAAATTAAGTGAGGTTATAAAGTGCACCATCACCTAATTTTCTGCATGCATCGATAAGGAACTATTGAACGTTTGAGAGCTACTGTACTAGTACGTTAACATGTTTAAACATATGAAATGTTCTGTTAATACTTAATTGTTATTTTACAGGAGATTAAAAACGGAATTCCTTGTCGAGTTTGATGGTCTGCCGTGCAATCCTGAGGAACGTGTCTTAGTTATGGCTGCTACGAACAGACCGCAGGAACTGGATGAAGCTGCTCTCAGAAGATTCACAAAACGAGTCTATGTTACATTACCAGACATGCAGACAAGAGTAATGCTATTAACGCGACTGCTGGGAAAACACAATGACCCCTTGACAAACGAAGAGTTGAATCACATGGCCATGTTAACGGACGGTTATTCCGGAAGTGACTTGACTGGTTTAGCAAAAGATGCAGCCCTAGGACCTATTAGAGGTAACACTTAATTAAAGTGCTCATTAATTAAGAACAAATAAGGTCTCCATATAACAGAGTGCAATGAATCGAAGGGCTCTAAAAAAGAAAACCGTAATATATCCCGGAGAATCTTTTCTGGAGAATTTTTTTATTAATCTAACCTCGCCTATATTTCTTCACGAAAAGTGATTCTTTGCTAAATGCCTTCGTGAATTTTACAGGCTACATGTTAAAGATAGTATTTCCTCGAAACACACCTTCGGTGTACAAAAACTTAGCCAAATACATTTATCTCTACTCAATTAATTTCAAAAATAGCTCAAATTGCTTCCTCCTCATGAAAAGCTTGAATCAGCTATTATTGCCAAATGTCACGGTACATTTGGTTTCACGTATGTTGCATGTACAAGATTTTCTACTTCCTCAAACCGAAGACAAATATTAATAATATTCTCTCACTTTCAGAGCTCAATCCTGAACAAGTGAAGGAACTGGATTTAAATTCAGTGCGCAACATAACAATGCAGGACTTCCTTGAGTCTTTGAAAAGAATTCGCAGGTCGGTGTCACCGGCAAGTCTTGCAGCTTACCAAAAATGGAGCCTCGAGTATGGAGATGTGAGCCTCTGATTGATAAAGTGCCCACGCAATGGGCTTATTGTTTAGTCACATTCCTTGATTTCCGCGCACGTGATCAGTGCTTAAAGATCATCGTTACAATCAGTAGGTGCCGTAAAACACTGTGGAATTATAGGTTACGGTGCTACCGATAACGAAGTGACGATATGCGTTTAGCTGCTTTTGCACGTGCAGGTTCGAATGTCAAAGTGGTCTAACAAAAGAGATGGAGAATAGTTAATTAAGGAGATCCGATTATAAACACGAATGTGTTCGCAAGTTTTGCTTTATAATGTCTCCTAGGAGTGTTACAGCGATGTCATTGTTAAAGTTCAAGTTATCGTGTTATATACCAGTGCTCTAAGTTACTCCGAGCTTTTGGCGTTGGTTCGGTGCATCACCCTGAACCAACGTCACATAATTACCACAAGACGTGCTACACCTTGTTTTCGTTTATGTTTTCAAAGGAATAAAAAAAACGTAGTTATTTAGTCGATATATAAAATAAGACCGAGAATACGTGAAACAACGGACATTCCACGTTTTGTCCTGGATTTTAAATCTGAACTCCTTTTGTCGGTTTTAGGGCTAGCACGGTTACACGATTGAAAGCTTCCAAATAATTAGATCGTTGCATAAAATGCCTCCGTACACCATTTCCATTATTTGGAGAAGAGTCGAATTTCAATAGAGATATTCTACACGATAACAGTAGCTTCCTGGTCAGTTCTATGTATTTGGAGGACCTAGTGAATGTTTTATTTGCAAGTATAACTCCACACGTCCAAGAAGATAATAAGTAAATAGAGGATTACGGAGCCATTGTATCGAGATTATACACTACGATAAGAACGCTAAAATATAGCCGTCGATGTCGTGGAAGTGAGCGCATTAAAGTGCATGTAATATGACTTGAGAATTCGTGAAGTGATCGAAGTTTGTATCGTAATACTCTTAATCAAGTATATGTATGAGCAGCGAAGTAGCTTTGTTCATTTGTACAAGTTTAACGAATGCATAAGTTAGTATCGATTAGAGAAATTCAGTAAACAGTGAATACGTATACACACCGTGTACGGTGTTAGTGTTGAAAGTCTTAATTAAGAGTGGCACGAGCCATTAAAATTATCAACTTTTAACAGTTTGTGCATAAATTGGCGTCTTTCTTTGGGTTAATCATCGCAGAACTTTTTGAGCATTGCTTCGGTATTTGTATCGGCTAGATGTAACCATGGAAAGGAACGAACACAAAGCTCTAAGCTCAACTAGGTAATCGAGACTGCTCGATACAAGGGAATAGCTCACATTTACAAGATGAAACTACTCGATGAGGAAAGTTTGCTTTCTGACGTATTGTGAGAGACAACGAATACAGAGTGGGAATCGGACTGAAAATGAAAACACGCTCAGTATAATTTTAACGGCAGTCATAAGAAACCGAACGCGCTGAACGTGCTTTCAAAGCATTTAATATGAATTTACAACTGCTCCGATTATTTGTTATATAATTGTACTCGATCGGTATAAAAAGGTTCGTGATGTGTGCCGTTTTGGGCAACTGACGACGCTCGAATTTTTGACCGCACATTGTTGCACTTTTTTGGCAGCTGGCTGATACCGATAACAATGAATTAATGCTATTGCAGTGCAAGGACACGATAACAATGTATATCCACATTATTTCTCACTTGCACGTGAAACGCCGTTTCTTTGTGATGGTTAAGTTTAATTTCCTTCATCTAATAATAATTCGCCACTGTGATAATAACATTTAAGGGACCGCGGTCCCACTAGTTTCAAATTGTTTCCATCGATACGATCCATTGTATTAGTTAAACATCTAATCAAAATTGTTACGTGTCGGAAGCATGCAATATTTAATCTCTGCAATAATCGACACCGCTAAAAGGTACGATTTAAGCTTTTAAAAAGCTTTGATAGGTTATGTACATAAATCGACCTCGTTTATTTCTAATTGCAGCGTACACTTTACGTAATAATTATAAACACACTACCGCAATGCATTAAAACGCGAGAATAATCAGCAACGTCGCCAGCCTCTGCAGCAAAAAATGTGTTCTTTGTACTTTATGGCTAACCCGACTTAATACTCACGGCGCGAGAAAGTACCTGCCTCCTGGAAATACCCTTTATGTATGTACTTGTACACATCGAATCACTCTCATGGCGATTTTCAATTTTGCATCATCCACTGTAAAGAATATAAATAGCATTATACACGGAGATAACATTAACGATCTCCCAGCCTTCCAATCATGAAGCAGCTCAGCCTTAATCCTATTATTTTGCTACTTTTATAACTTATAGAAATAAGTTACCTAAGATGACGTATCTTAATGGTATTGTATTTCTAATATGACCGTTATTGCCGTGTATCGACGCCACATCGTTAACCTTCATGTCGTTTAGCTTCCGTTTAGAATTGATGCTCCTAGATTTACCCGAGTATTCCCTCGTTGCCCAGACCCAGCGAACGATACATGGGTACGTGAAGTCTCGGAGTAATGGGGACGCACTCTCCCAGTACCCCAAGACCTACTATAAAGAAACAACTTGAGTATTATTAGATCTTAAAGCGTATAAGTAACAGATTTATAATTAGGAGGTTAGTAGTCAAGTATTAGAGATGCATTACGAGCCCTTGCACTGTGTTTCGGTGAAACTTCAGGTGTCGTCTCGAAGTACCGAAATCAATGTCGTAAGAGCTAAAGTCCTCCGACAAGGAAGGCCAATACAAAGCGTGACAATATTTCAGGATTGATTCTTTGTAAAATTACATTCTTTAGTTAATTACGTTTATCTGTAATCTACACTATCTTTTTGTTTACCTTTTTTTGAGGTTATTTCATTCTGAATCGCATGTATGCAGACATTTTCACCATTTCTTTCCTTCCGAAGGGACTAGAGCCTCATACTTCTGTCGAGAGACTACACCCGAAGTCTCACCGTAGGGTATTCTTTGTAAATCTTGAGTACCTGGAAACCTGACAACAGTTCGGAAGCTGCACCGAAGCACTAGGTACATGAATACTCACCTGGGTGCACTCGAATATCCACGTACGGAGAGCTGCAATTTAAAAGAACCCCTAGATGCGAGATTTCGCTAATAAGCCGAGTTAATCACCGACCTAATTGTACTCTTGTTTGTCGAAAAACAGTATATACACTTGGTAGAAGTATGCGATAATCGAGGGGATGATTCGCGCCGAAAAAGGCGGTTAAGGTGATATGAAAGATTCAGCCCATATGTACCTGGGAAATAAAATCGCTTGTGAGAGTATTCCCCGAATTGGATGTACCGATTCGTTTTAAATCTTACCACGTGAACATGGAGGCCCCGAAGTAGGTTCTGAAACTCACAAAATTTCATTTTCAATCGCAATAATTTATTTATCATAGATTAGAACCAACCTGGCGTGGCTCGAGCACGTTTTCGATGTTTTACGCTTCTTGGAGGCTTAGAACCGAAAATGAAGAGTTACAGAACCTAGCTCGAACAATTTAGAATACCGTAGAAATGGAATATTACAGAGTAAGATGGGAAAATATGGAAAATACTTTCACCAACGATCGCAAGAGAATGCTGGCTTGTCTCGGGGCTAACACGTGTTCTTAGAAGAAAAATTTAGTTGCAGCTGAACGTCACAGATGGCGACGTTGTTCCTAAACAGTCGTTAGAATAATGAATTCCCGGGATTTCGACAGTTTTACGCCGATCTCTTCGTCATTACTTTACTGAAATGACATATGGAATGCTTCAGTTCGTATAATTCTCAACGTAGACTGTAAAAGACTTCGATATAAATATAAATGTTGGAAACGGTACGCGCCAGCTTGTGTTACCACTTGAGTATTCAAAATGGCGTTCCACCAAAGAGGATATAGATGAATTTGAATTTATCGACCTAGATTATATTGCTCAGCGCCTTTCATATCATCTTAATAGCTTCCTAGGGATTAGGAAATCGAAATCGTACAGTTATTATTTACAGCTGGGGGTTTAGATTAACGAGCGAGCTTGGATAATGTCGAAGTAAACTAAGAAATAACCGAGGCTCGCGTCACCGGTGTTAACTTAATTAGTTGCAAACTAGTCGTTCGTCCTGGAAGAGGCGTTTCTATTCCTTCCGCGATATTTCTAGTCTCCGATGTAAATATTTTTCAGTGCGCCAGAATATACCCAACAGTGGAACTCGGTCTCTCTCGGGATTAGAAATATAACGCTGTAAAGGAATCAGTTGCTGAATAAAATTAAATTACACGGAGACTCGAGTTTTTACGTTCCCTGGCGCGAACGCGTGAACTCTGAATGTTATACCCTCGGGATATAAATATGTTCCTGTACGCAGGAAAAAATTACATTAACACATTCGCGACCGCTGACGTGAATCCACGTCATTTTAAAGTTCTATTCCCGGTTGCCGCTGACGTGAATTCACGTCATTTTAAAGTTCTATTCCCGTTTGCCGCTGACGTGAATTCACGTCATTTTAAATTCTATTCCTGTTTTCCGCTGACGTGAATTTTAAATTCTATTCCCAATTGCCGCTGACGTGAATTCACGTCATTTAAAAATTCTATTCCTGCTGCCGCTGACGTGAATTCACGTCCTTTCGAGTTCCATTCCCGTTTGCCGCTGACGTGAATTCACGTCATTTTAAATTCTATTCCCGTTTGCCGCTGACGTGAATTCACGTCATTTTAAAGTTCTATTCCCGTTTGCCGCTGACGTGAATTCACGTCATTTAAAAATTCTATTCCTGATTGCCGCTGACGTGAATTCACGTCCTTTCAAAGTTCTATTCCTTTTTTCCGCTGACGTGAATTAACGTCATTTTAAATTCTATTCCCAATTGCCGCTGACGTGAATCACGTTCATCACGATACACGATACAAGTTTGTGGCAACCAGTTTCAGAATTTCATTATTATCGCCGGTACTCAGTATTTGAAACGGACAAAAATTTGCCGCTCGCGAATGTGTTGGGAACACTTTTTTAACGAAATGACCAACCGGATTGTAAAATGAAGCTAAGCGAGCCACCTGGCTGCGTTCTAGAAAAAGCCGGATTAGTACAAAAATTAGAGGCTCTACAAAACGGAACGTACTTTCATTATGCCAAACATGAGTCCATGATAAGTGCTCTCATTCGAGAGAAAAAAAAAATATATATATATTTATCGAGTGCAAGTGTCGAACTTTGGCGTTAAGCACTCGATGTCGTTCGCGCGTGCTCTTAAGTGTATTTGGTGCGAGACTCTACCCCGAGTTTCTTGATCTGACCCCGAAAAATTGAATATTCCACCGAGAAAAACCGAGAGCGTAGCTCGGGATCCGACACATGACAAGTCCAAGTGTATTTTAAATATTTATTCCTTTTTCTTTTTTTTTTCATTCAAAGGACAATTTGTTTTTATTATAAGATAACATTATCCTAAGCATTGTCGAGGGTTTGGCGCCCTGCCGTACCTAAATTACTCTTTATATAACATTCTTTACGCCTTCCGCCGTTTCACTGATTATTAATAATCCATAGTCGTACTCCTGTAATCGGCCGTCCACTCGTTTCTTAATCTTCCTCGTCTTCTCGTCCCCGCTCAACGTAACTTATGTGTTTTCTTTTCCTCTTCTTCTTGTGTGTGCAATGTGTGTCACGAGTTTCATTCCTTACGTTTCTCGTTTACTCCCATTAAAGTGACCCAACCGCAGACTTAGTACAAAGAATTCAGAACTCTCCATAGAAGCCCAGAAGGATACGGACGTTCGATGTTTGTTAATTAGCACGTTAGCCAACAGATGGCGGCGCTGTGATCATCTTTCCGTCTCTCTTAATCTTATACCGATATATAGCGAATTGGATTCTTTCTTTATCTTACACGAGGGTTGGGTAATTCCGCGTTTTTCGAGGTTTTCGGCGTATAATACATAAACCACGTAATTTACCATATAAAGTCCTAGCAAAATCAGTAAATTACGTTTCCAATATGAGGGATGCCGCAGATGTGCGATACGCGGTATCCGCTAGGTTATAAACGCAAACCAGTTAGGTTATAAAAGCAAAACCAGTGAATTACGTTTCCAATATGAGGGATGCCGCAGATGTGCGATACACGGCATCCGCTAGGTTATAAACGTCTTCTAGCACATACGTAAACATCATTATAGAATAATAAATTGATTCGGCGCGTTCAAATTTTTTTAGAATTTAACGTTTCCAATATGGTGGACGACGGAGATGCCCGATATCATGTATCCGCTAGGTTATAAAAGCAAAACCAGTGAATTACGTCCGCAGATGTGCGATACACGGCATCCGCTAGGTTATAAACGTCTTCTAGCACATACGTAAACATCATTATAGAATAATAAATTGATTCGGCGCGTACAAAATTCTTTAGAATTTTACGTTTCCAATATGGCGGGCGACGCAGATGCCCGATATCATGTATCCGCTAGGTTATAAAAGCAAAATTAGTAAATTACGTTTCCAATATGAGGGATGCCGCAGATGTGCGATACGCGGTATCCGCTAGGTTATAAACGTCCTCTACCACATACGCAAACATCATAGAATAATTAATTGATTCGGCGCGTTAAATCGTAAAATCACCGAAGTTAAGCGACAAAACATTGAACGACAGAGTGAACGCAAGTGTCGAACTAATTTATATTATTCCATACCCCGATTTTTGTAAAATCATCAAAGTTAAGCGACAAAATATTGAACCGCAGAGTGAACGCACGCACCGAATCAATTTATATTATTCCATACCTCGATTCTCGTAAGATCATCAAAGTTAACCCTTTGAACACGGAACCTTTTCGACATATGGGCGAAATTCGTCTGACCGTGCAGGCAATATTGGACCAAACGTACGGTGACTATAGTCACCCGTCGTAGCGAAAGGGTTAAGCGACATCGGACACGGTCCCTCTTTGGATGGGTGACCATCAGGGACCACCACCATATAATATCGAACATTTGCATCACCCGCCATATTGGAAACGTAAAATTCTAAACAATTTTGAATGCAAGCGCGCTGAATCAATATGTTATTCCATACCCCGATTCTCGTAAAATCACCAAAGTTAAGCGACAAAACATTGAACGACATAGTGAACGCAAGCGCCAAACCAATTTATATTATTCTATACCCCGATTCTCGTAAGATCAAAGTTAAGCGACATCGGACGCAGTCCCTCCTTGGATGGGGGGACCGCCA